GCTAGTGTATGAACCTAGTAATGGTATGTGGCTGTAAATTGCTGAGCACCGTTGTGATAGGTGGTGTTATATTACTAGGGATAATATGCACAATACACTTTCTAACAGATATTATTGTGGATATATATGACTCCAAAATATAAGTGAGATTGAGAAACAACAGATGTAATGTCCAAAAGGAAGAATGGCATCCCCTGGATATTGAAAGAATGAGACTTCAGATTTAAGGCTCTAGCATTTTTGGTGGCTCCTATATGGGGAATTTTAAGGAAGAAATGTAGACCAAAATCCATTGAATAGAAAGAGTCATGATCTGCATTCATACCAATGATAATAATAACTGATAGAATAGCTAGAATTTATATAGCCCTTTAAGGTTTGCAAAGTGCTTTACAAATATTATCTTATTTTATCCTCATAACAAACTTGGGCAGTAGATGCCATTGTTATCCTCATTGTACACAGGAGGAAACTGAGACATTGACTTCCTCAGGTTCTCAAGGACTTCTTTTTAAAATTTTGTCTCAAAACTTGGTTCTTTGGTAGAAGTTAACACTCAAGAAAGCAATTAATTTTTCTGTAAGGCACTTGAAGTCAATATAAGTTAGCTAGCATTTCTCACACTTGCACAATACATCCATAATATTAAGTTTTGTCTTGCTCAGAAATGGGTTTATTTAGGTTTAACATATAAAGGAAGGATGGTATTTTATTACAGGGCTAAGATACGGTGTTAAACTCCTAGGCAAAATAGAGGAGCATTGATTGGGATGGCACTTTGAATTCAATATGAATCAGTAGTGCAACTTAGCAACCATCAAAGCTTATTCAAGCACAAGAGGAGTATAATGAATGTATAAGAATAAAATGAGAGTATCCTTGGTTTGTGCACTTGGGTTTTGTGTTCATTTCTGGGCACTACATTTTAGGAAAGACATTTACAAGGTGAAGCATGTCTAAGGTAGGTTGACTAGGATAGTGAAGAGAGGCTTTGAGAGGAGTTCTTTGCTTTGCCCTCCAGTCCTTTAATCAAAAGGGCAGAGGCTACTGAGGGTACTGGTGAGGTATAAACACCAAGGCTGACAAACTTTCACAGGATGATAAATTTCCACATGATGTAGTTCCTGGAGGCAAGATGGAGTTTAGTCCAAATGAATGCAGCTGGGTGAGAAGTTGTAGTTGTCATTGTTGCCATAGTCGTTGACGTAGTCCTCATCATCCTTGTTGGTAATAGGCAATTAGGTAATTAGGTAGGTAATTAAATAGGTAATTAGGTGATGCAGTGGATAGAGCACAAGATGTGGTGTCAGGAAGATCTGTATATCTTTGGACTGGACTCCATCATGCCCCTGACAATACGTCTCTCCTCCCCTCACTTCCTTTTTCCTTTTATGCGTTGTTTTCCATCATTAGATTACAAGCTCCTTGAAGGCAGGGACTGTCTTTCTTTTTTCATATTTGAATCCTTATTGCTTAGCATAGTGCTTGGCATATAGTAGGTGCTTAATAAATGTTTATTGATTGATTGATTAATGCTAATAGCTAGCATTTTATGTAGCACTTTAAGGCATACAAATCACTTTACATATGCCTATACTATTATGTGTGTAGATATTGTCTCTCCCCTCACCCAAAAGAAAGGAAGTTCCTTAAGGATAGGAACTGCTTCATTTTTTGTCTTTGCATCCTCATTGTCTCACACAATATCATGGCAAGTAGTAGATGCTTAACAAATGCTTGTTGATTGATTGCAGGAAGTATGAATATTAGACAAGAGATCTTTGCCCTCATTGAGTTCATAATTTAGTAAAGAATATGGGAATAGAATACATGTGCAAATAATGCGAATGTAAGGGTGGAGGTTGACTGAATCAATCAATCACCCCAGTCTACTGCACAGAACGTTTTGTAACTGCGTGTCTGAACCACACGTACAACATATTACAGGAATCTCTCAAGGCAGTTCATAGATAACCATAAAACACAAACAAACATAACATACAGTGTAAAACAATAAAATATCACTCACCTATATAATAGTAATGAAGTATGCATAAAAGCTGCATATATGTACATAAATAGCAAAGCTATTCATAGTTAATAGACAACAAATCTATAGCAACAATAATAATAGCTAGAATTAATATAGTGCTTTATGGTTTGCAAAGCACCTTTCATATGTTAATCTTATTTGTTCCTCATAACAACTTTGAGAGGTTGGTACTTTTATTATGCTCATTCAACAAATGAGGAAACTAGGACTTACAGAGGTTAAGTTACTTGCCCAATGTTACACAGATAGTAAATGAGGAAGGATTCAGATTCAGGCCTTCCTGACTCTACATAAATAATTCAAGCACAAAAGCTGATAAACATGGACAACAAAATAGTAATTAACACATTCATCAATGGACATAAACAATTAAATCCAAGGCATAAATGACTTAGATAAATATTAATATTATTGTCTAGCTAAATGTGTAAGTGCTTCTCTAGTTTTCCCAGGAATTTCAAAAATTAGTATAATGACATATCAACTATGCCTAGTTCTCTCATGACCTTCTGACCTCTCTGCCCCTCTTCCTGAACTGGTTAATGAAATGGGCTGATTAAGTCCTCATAAGAACTAGATTTCTTCATTCCCAAACTCTTGTGGGGGGCCTAGGTTGGTTCTTACTGTTATTGTACTCTAGAGGATATCTGTAGTCCCAGAGTTTCTACTGATGATTTCTACGCAAGAAAGGTGTTGCTTCTGGGTTTAGCCCCCTCTCTCTGAAAATTCCTTCATGAGAAATTTATATGTGGTCCTCAGTCTTCTTACCATCCTGGTCACCCTACTTTAGACATGCTTCAGCTTGTAAATGTCTTTCCTAAAATGTAGTGCCCTGAAACGAACACAAAACCCAAGTGCACAGACCAAGGATACCCTCACTCTCTTATTTTGCATTTGTTATAGCTTTGATGGTTGCTAAGTTGCCATATTGATTCATGTCCAGTTCAAAGTGCGATCCCAACCAATTCTCCTCTACTTTGTCTAGGAGTCTAACACCATATCTTAGCCTTGTAACAAAGTATTATCTTTCCTATACATATTAATCCTAAGTATACCCATTTCTGGGCTAGATAAAACTTAATATTATGGATATATTGTGCAATTGTGATATTTGGAATGTTAATTTATATTGACCTGAAATGACTTACAGATTATAGAACAATTAATTGAGACAGAATTAAAAAAAAATCCTTTGGAAGGGAACCTTTTCTGAAACTAGATTTAGGCTGGGCAGTGAAAGAAGTTCAAAGAAATTCAGTTATGGAATTTAGAGAAATGTATAACTTGCTTGGGGCAGTTAGGTAGTGGAGTGGATAGAGTACCAGGCCTGAAATAGGAAGACTCCTCAGACATTTACTAGCTATGTGACCCTGGGCAAGTCCCTTATGCCTGTTTGCCTCAGTTCCTAATCTGTAAGATGAACTGGAGAAAGAAATGGCAAAACCACTCCATTGTCTTTGCCAAGAAAACACCAAATAAGGTCCTGAAGAGTTGGACAATGACCGAACAAGAAAACAACTTGCTTAGGGTTTGGGTGGCTTCCAAGAAGCAGTTTTGACTTGGACCTTGGGGTCTGTAGCCAGACACTTCCCTTTCTCCAAGAAATGAGTAGTCTGTACTCCTAAGTATCAGCATTAAGGGAAATAATATAGTGAACTTGAGAGTGTAACAGGCTGGAACTGAAAATCATACTTAAGTGTTCACCTGGGTCAAGCAGACTCTTAATTTACCTGAGTACCTCTATTTTACCTAACTTATAGTATAACATTTCACAGCTTTTCATAAATACGTATTTTGTGTAAGGAAATTGCTAAAGGCAAGACAATTTCAAGCTGTTATAGCCATCTTCTAAACTCAGTCCAGCTGGAGGTTTCTCCTTTTCTCATTCTCTACTGTATGTCATAGCCCAGAGCTGTTGAGGTGATGATTTTTTTCTAATTCTTGTCCTCTATTTCTCTTCCCTGACTAGCTTCTGGCCATCCCAATGATTGCACCCCCCAAACCTTCCCTCAGTCCTCCCCAAAAACACCACGAAAATTGTTTTTGTGAGATGATTTTATTAGAAGCCAAGAGAGAAGGAAAAATAAAAAAATTCAAGAATACAGAATTGATGAATTACAGAACCAAACTTCGAAATCCTGCTCTAAAATAATCTTAATCCAGTCCACTGAGGGTGATATAGCTTTCTGGGCGAACTTTTGTTCCTAGCATCTGGTCACAAGTGGGCCGGCTGCCATGCTTCCTCAGGAGATTCACAATTCCCTCTCCAATGTCCTGTTCAATTTGAAGATCCTTTCTACTTAAAAGGAGAGCAGATAAAGGGAAGGTTCCAGGTAGGACTGGGTTTTCATGAGCTAGTCCCCCTTTTTCTTTATAGTTTTTGTAACCAAGTTCTTTGTATTGTAGCAAAGTGGACTTCTACCAAAAATATCCTGTATCACCTTAGGTACACTATGGGAATGTAGGGTCAGTCCTGTGATAATAATCTAAATGGAGTGAGGGGAGGCTGTGAGAAACCATAGTGGGTTGCTCAGATGGTAGCCCTAGAAGTAACCAGAGGAAAATTTGGATAACCTTCTGTTCAGTGGTTTTGTAACACTTGCCCCCATCACATGCTTCCCTCTAGCATAGTAAAACACCATGGATTCCTGTGTCCCAATCTCAGTTTCTTTATTACATTCATCCATCCGAGATCCCACCCTGGATAGGATCAGATGGGGTAGCAAATAGTGATCATCTGGAAGGGAGAAGAGATGACACGAGAGAGGCAGATTGAGGTACAGAGACTGTGACTCCACATTGGGGAAGCAGAAATGCTTTGAGCTAAGGAGAGCTTGGGTTAATGCGGTCAGGAGTGGAGCTAATGTCAGGGGTGAATTGGAGGTCATGATTTTATTCAAGGTCAGAACATCAAGGCCAAGTGTGGTGATGTTCCCACCTTCCCACATTAGGAAATCTTGCAGCATCGAGCAGTGGTCCAGTCCATGCCTGAGCACTGACAATGACACGTCTCGTACCCTTGAACATTCCAGGAACCACAGCCATAGCCACAGGCACAGCCAGTAACTTTAAACCCTACAAGGAGGCAGAAACACTATGAGCCCCTAGAAGCCAGGGAAACCCTCTAGCCAGTTTGCACAGGCCCCCCCTACCCTTTTCCTTCATTAATGGCCAAATTGAAGCAGTGGGTGAAAGAATGGGAGGGGAAACAGAGTAGGAAGAAGGAGCCAGATGAGGTGAAGAGGCTAGGAAGAGAAAAGAGAAGAGTTTAAAGAGATATAAGAGGAAGAAATGAAAAAGAAGGAAAGCAAGTGTCCCCCAGTATCAACCCTCAAGAGAAAATTGAGACAGGAAGCAAAAATATTTGGGGGAGGGGGTTCATAAGTCCATAAGCTTAATGCAGTAGAACAATTGGAGTAGAGGAAGGACAGGGGTAGGCTAGGGGAAGATGATAGCTTGGGAAGTGAGGTTAGGGAGCATCTTTAGTCACTTACCTGAAGGGCAAGCGGCCAGTTTACCATTTCTTTTCACACTTATACAAGAGAGAGATCTCTGATATCCAGTCTCTGAAAGTCAGGCAATGAGAGCATGGGATGTTTCTTGCTTAACCCCACTCTATAAATCTCACTCATTCTCCTGCACCCCTCTTGTTTCCCCAGATTGGACACTGAATATTAGCCCTGGGGACGCTCAAGGTTTTAGATTGTGCCCTGGGACCGACAGGAAAATTGTCCTGAACTGGAGTAAGATGTGGGTTTGAGATTCCGGGATGGGGTTGGGATCTAGGAAATTTAGGCTTCTATACTGCAATTCCCTTAAGGTCTATTACCTAATTTGGAAAGCGCTTCCTTTACTTTCTTCTCCACAATGGAGTTTAAAGAGCAGTCAGCATGGCCAGGGGACATCAGTGCTAGAAGGGTGATGAGGATGAGTAGGAAAAAGAAGGCGAGTTTCATCTTCTTAGAAGGCTGTGTCCTGCAGGGAGAAAGAAAGCTGGTTAAAAGTGAAGAAGGTGCTTCCTCATTTTCCTGAGAGCATAGCAAGGACTGGGAAATTGGGGAACAAATGGTCTTAATTCCAGAATGCCAGTCCTCCACGAAGATGAATGGAGATGGATTGTAGAATCATCTTACTCACCTGAGAAAAGTTGGGTAGAGTGTGAAGAGTAGGAGGTTTATATATGTCCTGGGGTTTTGCTGTTGGGTCCACCCTAGCTAAACTAAGGGCATGATGGAATGTATCGTCTCAGGGCCAAGGAAATAATACTCCCATTTATTCCCATTTATTTCCTAGGAAAAAAGAACATTTAGAAAACTGATAAAAAAAATGAGGTTCCAGTAAGTACACAATGGAATATATTGACTCAGGGGCAAGGAAATAATATCCTCATTTACTTCCATTGACCCACCTCTTATTTCAAAGAGCCCTATGGCAGCTGTGATATGCCGTACCAAGGGCAAGACTAAAGGGTAAATATCCAGGAAGTGTTCAGAATGTTATTTCAAAGCCAGTGGAATAATATCCACAGACCCCTCCCCTTCTCCACTTCTTACTTCAAGGAACATTCAACCGACTACGATAAGCCATTCCGGGGCAAGAACACAGGGTATTCATACAGGGATTCTGGAAAAGGTAGCAGCTGCCCTCACTGTACAGAGGACAAGAGAGGGCACAAAGCTCCTACCCTTTGGCTTCATAATCCTTTCCTTATTAATACAGGTATGAGAAATTGCTTCATAGACCTTCACACTTTTGATTCAAAGAACCCTAGTTTGTTTTTTGGGTTCCAGATTTCATAATTTCAGGTCTTGGAGCAATTTGCTCCATTTTGGGATGTCTTGTAATCAAACACGTGGGGAATTTCATAGGAAGCATAAGGTATATTTGGGGAGCAGAGGAGTGGTGGCATGTCAGTCAATCAATAACAAGGCATTTGTTGTTCAGTTGTTTTCAGTTGGGTCCAACTCTTCATGACCCATTTGGGGTTTTCTTCGCAAAGATACTAGAATGGCTTGCCATTTGCTTCTCCAGTTCATTTTACAGATAAGGAAACTGAGGCAAAACAGGTTAAGTGACTCACCCAGGGTCACATAGCTAGTAAGTGTCTGAGGCCAGATTTCAATTCAGGAAGATGGGTCTTCTTGACTCCAGGCCTGGCACTCTGTGCACTGTACCACCTTGCTGCCCAATAAGCATTTACTAGGCTCTTATGTGCCAGGCACAGTATTAAGTCCATAAATGTATGTGTGTGTATATATATATGTGTATATATATATATACACACACACATACACACGTACATACAGAATACATATGTGTATCTCTATGTATATGTAACTATATATGTGTGCATATATACGTATACATATGTATGTGTGTGTACACACATGCATATGTATATGTGTATATGTATATATTTTCACTCTGGTTGCCTGTTAAATTAGGTTACCTAGTTTCCCATTTTCAGCTATACTCTACCTAAACTATATTCCTGATGCCAGCGGCTACTATGTCTGGTACCCATCTATCGCTCCAAGGTGTCTATACTAAAGTTTCCCACCATGATACGTCTTGGGGATTTCTAAGCTAGTGGCGGCTGGTATTAAATAGTGACATCTGAAGATCTTATCTGTGAAGGTCCTTTCTTGGGTGGGTGTTGAGACTGATGTCCCAGGAAAGGCATAGCCTTACCTCCAGGCAGACAAAACCAGTAACTTAAGATTTTGGGGAATATGGCCTGTAAGTTTACTATTCACATCCCACTGCCACTGGATTATAGAGGGGAAGACTAAGTAGATAAACCATTTCCCCCTTGGGCATGGTTTTAGGGGAAAAAAGAGTGGGTTAGTGTATTATCAGGTATTGTCAGGGTCAGTGGCACCCTTCTCTTTAGCCCCTGATAAATGTGTGCCCAGTAGATGGGAGAGGGAGAGGACCCTTTCAGGCTCCTCTGAGGGTCAGCTTGATGGCATCCTGCTCCAAGGTTTGCTGTTGTGTGGGTCCCTAGGAGAAAGCAGCAGATTGTCTTGTCACCTGGTAGGGGAGCTTGAGAAAACCTGCAGGAGGCACCTGTTGCCACCAGTTACTGAAGAGCCCAGGGTTTCTTCCTTATTGTGAGAAGTTCCAGACTGAGCAACTTTTCCTTAACTTAAGGCTTTCCTTAAAGCCTCTCTGGGCTCTTGTCCTTGGGCTTCCAGGAATTTCACTTATATTGGTGGACCCTGGATCCTGACTGGGTTGGTTGCCTTCCTATCCTGTATTAGGGTGTGGAGGAGGGCAGTCAAGGCCTATCGAGACTTCACTTCAGTGGGAGGGACCAGCACAATGCTCATTGTAGTGGAGGATGTCTTAGCTCTCCATCCTACCCACAGGTGGTAGAGAGCAGGGCTGTTTAGATACCCTTGTGGTGGGCCTATAATGGCTTCCTTTTCTGGGTGAAAGAAAACTATTTTTGATCTTCCTCCCAGAGAAGAACTGAGAAGAAGGCATTGGCCAGGTCAACCACTACATACTAGCCCCACTGTGTTGTAGCCATTCTCTCATTAATAGCAATTACATCAGGTACTGTGCAGGACAACAGAGCCCCCTGCCCTGTTTCATTCTTTACAGTCAATGGTCAGGTCCTGAATTCCACTGGCCTTTCTGCTGGGCCACACTGGATTATTCTAGTGAGAAGTGACAGGTTGTAGGATTCCCATTTGTTCTCATTCTTGTATTAGAGCCATGATGTCCCTCTCTTGGGATCCCATATTGTCAGGTTAGTACTACCCAGGATGGAAGTAAGAACAAAGAAGGAAGAAACAAAAGAAAAAAGGAGGTGCATAAGGAGTAACCAAGCCCCCTCACTGATGGCCAGACACTGAAGGACAGAATGTGAGGTAGGCCATTCTTCTCAATGAACTGAGTGATCAAGTGTGCTGATAGATCTTTTATCCTCAAGAGAGGTAAATCATCTGCTGCAGGGAGGTGAAGGATCTTACTGTGAGGACGGCTAGGGTTTGGGTTCCTCATATAGCAGGACAATAGCCTTTTGGCAAGTCCTCCCTAGCCCCGGACCACAGTAACCTGAGCCCCAGGGCCCAAAAGTCCCATTAAAAAGTGGGTTGCTTCTCCCAGTCACTGAATCATGATGACTATTGGCAGGTCCCTGGACCCAGGGACCAGGCCATACCTTTAGTCAAATGTCAAGCCCTTTTTTTAACATTAAATTTTTAATATATAGAATAAAATAAACATTTCTATAACACAGTACAATAAAAAAGATGCTTGCACATGAAATTGCAAATCTGCTATGCACAACTTGCTATTTCTTTCAAATATACAATAAAATTATCATGTAAATTTCTTTTTTTCTTCCCTCACCCTGCCCCCCCCCAAAATGGCTACCATTAGAAAAATAGGTGTGTGTATACATATATATATATACACACACACATGCATATGTGTATATATAGGTATATGGATATATGTGTATATATAGGTATATGTGTGTATATATATATATACATACACATATATAAAATTATTTTATACATACTTCTATTTATCAGTTCTTCCTCTGGATACAGACAGCGTCTTTCTTCATATGTCCTTTATAGTTAATTTGGGTATTTCTAATAATCAAAATAACTTATTTACTCAAAATCAGTCTTAAAACAATATTGCTGTTACTGCATACAGTGTTCTCTTGGTTCTGCTCATTTCACTCTTCATTATTTTGTGCAAGTCTTTCCATGTTTTTCTAAAATCATTGAGCTCATCATTTCTTACAGCACAGTAGTATTCCATCACAATCATGTACCATAACTTGTTCAGCCATTCCCCAATTGATGGGTATCCCTGCAATTTCTAGTTCTTTGCCACCACATAGAGAGCTGCTATAAACATTTTTAAAACACGTAGGTGCTTTCCCTTTTTCCATAATTATTTTTGGAAATAGGCCAAGTAGTGATATTGCTGATTCCAAAGGTATAGGCAGTTTAATAACTCTTTGTGCATAATTCCAGATTGCTCTCCAAAATGGTTGGATCAGTTCACAATTCCACCAACAATCAATTAGTGCCCCAATTTTTCCACATCCCCTCCAACATTTGTCACTTTTCCTTCTATCATTTTAGTCAATATGGTAGGTGCAAAATGATATCTCAATTTGCATTTCTCTAATCAATAATAATGTAGAGTATTTTTCATATTATTTTTCATATAACATTGCTCACATAATGTTTTTCATATTAATTTTCATATATAGTTTTGATTTCTTCATTGGAAAACTGCCTGTTCATATCCTTTGCTCATTTATCAATTGGGGAATGGCTTGTATTCTTATAGATTTGACAAAGTTCTTTGTATATTTTAGACTGAGATGTTTATCTGATTAACTGTCTAAATTTTCTCCCCAATTTTCTGCTTTCTTTCTGATCCTGGCTACATTTGTTTTAGCTGAGCAAAGCCTTTTTAATTTACTGCTATTGAAATTATCCATTTTACACCTAATTTTGTTCTCTATCTAAATTGTTTGCCTATCTATAAATCTGATAAGTAATATGTTCCATGTTCTAATTTTCTCATAAAATCTCTTTTTATATCTAGCCCATGTATCCATTATGACTTCATCTTGATAAGTGGTATAAGATATTGGTTTATGCCCAGTTTCTGCCACACTGCTTTCCAATTTTCCCCCCAAAATTTTTTTTTACCAAATAATGAATTCTTATCCCCAAATCTTGTCTTTACACTTGTCAAATACAAGATTATTATGTTTTGCTGCTGTAAGTTGTATGCCTATTCTATTCCATTGATCTACCTCTCTATTTCTTAGCCAGTACCAGATAGTTTTGAAAATTACTGCCTTATAATACAGTTTAATATCTGGTACTGCTAAACCTCCTTCTTTTACACTTTTTTTTCATTGTTTCCTTTGATATTCTAGACTTTTTGTTTTTCCGAATGAATTTTGTAAGGCGTCTGAGTGAAAACAACTGCTACTTTTTTGCAAGATAAACATTCTTTTTTTTTGCTTTTTTGGTTAAGTGACTTGCCTAGGGTCACACAGTTAGTGAGTATCATGTGTCTGAGGTCGGACTTGAACTCAGGTCCTCCTGACTCCAGGGCCAGTGCTCTATCCACTGTACCACCTAGCTGCCCCATACAATTTTTTTTTTTAAAAAAGCTTGCCCTACTCAGTCAAAACTACCCAGCTATTAGCACATCATTATCCTAATAAGTCCCTGTTCAAAGCCCATTGATGTCTCAATCCTCTTGATATCTCAATTCCCCAAATCTACCAATCACATTGATGGGCCTCTGGCCAGGAAAATCCTGCTAGACATCCTGTCAGTATTACCCTCTTATATAAAAAACAAAACAAAACAAAAAACTCCAGTTTCAAAAAAACAAAAAAAGCACACAGCTTAGCTGTAATGTGTTGCCCACTGCTACCTCAAGGGTTAGGCTAAGGGTACTGTGCTGGAGGGATTTTTTGTACTTTTGTGATCCCCACTGCTCTGTGAGTATATTGACCTTCATCAAAACACAGATAAATACCAAATTCTAGTTCTAGTACTGTCTCAGAATGCATACGTGCAATTTGTCTTAGCAACCTGAAGGAAATAACTGTTCTGCCCTAAGTGAACAGTCATATTCTTATCTTTGGGGACGTGAGAAGAAAACCTAGCCCAGACAGTATAGGTGATTTGGCAAAGAAGAAAGAAAGAAGAAGGAGAAAGTTCCATGCATTCACACCAACAAAATGCCAACATCACATTGTCATGACAACATGATAACAAAACAAAAATATCAACCAGAGCATCAAGCCAACATACAACATGCCAATAACATGCAGACATCATAAAGTCAAAGTCGCAACATGCCAATATCATACTATGAAGCCAACACCTGCCAACAACATGCCAATAACATACCAACATCAAATGTCAAAGCCAATAAAATACCAATTATACACCAGGCTAACACTTTACTGTCAAAGTTAGCAACATGCCAATTATACACCAAAGTCATAGTGGCAAAGCTAACAACAGCCAATTACATGCCAATTACACGCCAACAACAGTCAATAACAATAGTACCCAGTGAAGAATTAGGTGGCCAGGTAGAGGCTAGTTGGGACTGCCCATGTTACATGACTCCTCTCTCAAAGCCCTCGTAGTGAGAACAACTGCTGCTTAACCTGTAAGATACAGAAGTGTTAGTGTGTTGTTGGTGTGTAACTGGCATGCCGCTTACTTTCACAGTAAAGTTAGTGTGTTGTTAGTATGTAATTGCCATGTATACAGGTATGAAGGAAAAGCTTTCAGGTAAGATTTGGATGATAAATATTTGTGATATATTCAAATCCAAGATTCAAATCCCTTTGTGAATGATGTAATTGATGCCTCACTTGTGTGGAAACAGTTCAATGTTTAAAGTAGGCAGGGAAAGATCTTTCATTTATTAAAAACTAGATAAATGAATGTATAGGAACACAGTTTCAAGGTGATGTATCAGTGATGGATGCTCATGGCGAAGCCTTCAGAGCAACAAGCATGATGCCTATTTCAGTTCATTTGTAAGTAACTTTTTTTTTTTTTGGATGTATATTTGCTGTGGCCATGGTGTTTGACAGGAGCAGGCCAGCTGATAACACTCCTGATAGAGTCATAAACTCATCTGTGACAGGGGAACTGTGTGTCCACCTGTACTAACCACCCAAAGAAGCCATTCATCTAGACCAGGGGTGGGGAACCTGCAGCCTCAAGGCCACATGTGGCCCTCTAGGTCCTCAAGTGCAGCCCTTTGACTGAATCCAAACTTCACAGAACAAATCCCCTTAATGAAAGGATTTGTTCTGTAAGACTCGGACTCAGTCAAAAGGCCACACCCGAGGATCTAGAAGGCCTTGAGGCTGCAGGTTCCCCACCCCGATCTAGACTTTCATTATCCTATTGTTGGTACTTCTGCCTGATGCTGTCCAATTGTCCTTGGTTTCACTTCTTGCCTAGTGAGCTGGTTGGGGCACAGCAGTGGATGCCTCTTCC